GAAACAGAGTAGTGGAGTGCATGGATGTGGAGAGTTAAAAACTGTTAGCTTTCACAGTCCGACACATCTTACATTTAGAGAGAGCGTAGGGTGCCAAGGTTCTTGTAGGCAGGTCTGTGCCTTTGTTTTCAGCTTGTAGTATCAGATGAGGTTCCATTGTGTGTTTATTGACATTCCTTCCTCCTTCCACACATCCTAGACAGCCTGAACGAGACAAGATGAGCCTCCTACTTTCTCCTCCAATTTCTTTTTTCTTTTTTTATTGTGGTAAAGTATACATACAATGAAATTTACTATTTCAACCATTTTTAAGTGTTCAGTACAGTGGCATTGAAGTACATTGGCATTATTGTGCAGCTGTCACCACCACCCATTTCCAGAATTTTTCATCTTTCCAAAATAAAACTTTATACCCATTAAACACTAACTCCCAATTCCTTTCCCTCAACCCTGACAAATTCCATTCTGCTTTCAATAGCTATTGTTTAACTACTCTCAGGACCTCTGTGAGGCGAAATCTCGTAGTATGTCACCTTTTGTGGCTTGTTTTACTTAGCATAATGGCCTCAGGTTTCATCTATGTGGTAGAGTGTGTCAGAATTTCCTTCTTAAGATTGACTAGTATTTCAGTGTATATGCCACATTTTGTTTATCCACTTATCCATGGACGGACATATGAGTTGCTTACATGCATAGCTATTGTGAATGGTGCTCTGATGAGCATGGGTGTACGAATATCTCTTTGAGCCCCTGCTTTCAGTTTTTTGGGATGTGTATGCAGAAGTGGAATTGCTGGATCATACAATATTTCTATGTTTATGAGAAATGCCAAACTGTTTTCTGCATTTTACAGCCTCACCAACACTTGTTGTTTTCTGTTTTCTTTTTTGATTGTTGCTCTCCTAATGGGCGAGTATCTCCTACTAGTTTTATTTGCATTTTAAATAATTAGTGATGTTGAGCATCTTTTAAAGTGCTGACTGGCCATTTATGTATCTTTGAAGAAATATCCATGGAAGTCTTTTGTCTTTTTTTTGGTGGGGGGGTTGTTGGGTTTTTGTGTTGTTGAAGTTCCAATTGTTTTTAAGTCAGAATAAGTGTTGTTTTGTTTATGAAGCCCAATGTCTTAAGAAGAGGAAGTATTTGCTATGAAATGTAGTTGACTAGTAGTTTACATACATGTGAAATGAAAAGTTTTGTACAACATGAAATACCATTAGTAACATATTTGTATGTTGAATTTTAATTTTAGACGCATTTTTTTCTTCTCCACTTATACATTTTTTTTTTTTTACCTGACAGAATAAAAAGCATCACCAAATATTTGGCATTTTTTTTCTCCTCCTATTTAAACTACTTTGTAAAAATAGCAACTAAGCAGTTTCTCTGCAGTAGCCATTTTCCCTTGATTCCCCTCCACCAGCCCGGGTTTGGTGCTGTAGTCTGACATAGATTTCGTGGGAGCCTAACTCCAAAATTGGTGCCTGGGCCAGCCTGGGAGGTGTCCCGGCTGTGCCTAAAGAGGTCAGCTCTCCCCGTAGAGTCCATTAGTGTGGGGATCCCCAAGGGAGCTACAGTCAGCACAGGCTAGGGCCAGGTGTCAGAGCAGCCAGCCCTGCTCAGGTCTCAGCCAGGAATAGGAAGAGGAGGGGACTGTTTCCTACCTGCACAAGCCTTGAAACCTGCCTGGACTGCTGGGCAGTCTGGGTCAGGTTAGATGTGTCCATGAGCATCTGCTCAGGTCACCTTGCTGTCCCCTGATCACTCGTCAGTGCTGAAGTGCACAGGGCTGTCCTCTCCCTGGACTGGCGAGATTGGTCAGCAGTCCTTCCTTTTGCATCCCATTTTCATTTCTGTGACACGATTTCTACAGGGCAGTGTATTCTGCCTTTCCTATGATATTAGGTTATTGGGAAAGACATGGAGTATTTATGCAAAAATATGTCACAACTTTCCTAGAGACCCAATTAGAAAAAGATTTTTTTTTTTTGGATTAAAAATCTACAGTCAGTAGAATCAATAACAACAACACAGTGAAGATTAAATATAAGATGCAAGAAGGAACACTTTTTCGTGAATTAGTGTTATTTGATGCCTGCCACAGATTGTGAAATTGATTCCATGTTTTCCAGTGCACCTTTGCTTGTCTTGGAGACTTAAAACTGGTGCTAGTGATGGTTAAGTTTATTCTGACAGTGACAAATAGATTTGTTTGGCAAACTCAACTGTTTTTATTACAAATGTGTACTAGAGAGTGGGAAGGAGCTTTCATGCAGTTTTCTTGTCAAAAAAAATGATGATTGAGAAATAAGCAATTTTAATTCCTTGGCTTTGAGAGTGGCCAGCTGTTTTGTCTCCACAGAGCTTGCTGCCTCATTTTCAGGTGGAAACATCTCAGTTGTCAGTGTGTCAAAAAATAAAGTTTTGCGGGGCCTGCGCGGCCGGGGCTCTGTTCCGCTTTCCGCAGCCCGGGCCGCATAGCCCCCGCTGCCTCTCCGGCGCTGGGTGTGTCCCGCGCTTGGCGCCTATGCGGGCCGGCGGCACGGACCAGCCCAGCTTGCCATCCTTCCTTTCTTGGGCCCGGCGGGCTAACGGGAGGTGGCGCTGGGTCCTGCGCACATTCGCGCCCTCGGGGCTGGCGTGTGGCCGCTGGGCCTGCGTGTGGTCGCCTGGCCCGCGTGTGGCCGC